GCAGTGGTTATCTGGGACAGTAGTGTCAGGTTACTGCTTTTAAGTATTGGATTATAAAAAGTTGTAGTCTGAGATATGTCATATCCTTTACATAGTCTGTGACCAAATTATCCCGCAGACCAGCTTCTGAATCTAAATCTGTATTTGTATATAAGAAACATCCATCCAACCTGCTTTTCTGGCCCTTTTTTGGGATCTATGTAGGGAACTGGTTCATTAAGTGTTCTTGCATTTGTATGAATGAATTTCGCATAATATACACGTCCTCTCCCAATACATGGTTTTGAATGTTGTATACTTTTTCCAGGTTTGCTGTCATGTTTGATTTCTTCTTTTTTTTCAGCTACATACACTATACCAGCATCTTCTATTTTAAGCTCTCTGAAAAATAGAATAGTAAATTTATTTAATGGGACTGTCATAATTGTATAAAACAAAATTTAAATATATTTCAAGTATCAGTCAAGACAATTTAGGCTTTGTTAATAATTATAAGAGACTTGTGCTATTAAAATATGGAAGGATATCTTCTCATTTTAAGTCATTTAAAAGATAAAAGGATTTGTGTTAATAATGATTATTCATAATGATATACCACTGCAGTGTACAGACTTTCATTTGCTGGAGTAAAGAAAGAGTAGTGATTTGATCATGGTTATGGATCCTGTTCGTAGGGTTTATTCACATAGCTAAGTTTCATGCTAATCTGAACTCATGTTTTTTAAAAGTTACTTAGGGTGTGCCTAGGTGGCTTCGGTAGTTGAGTGACTGACTCGATTTCAGATCATGAGCTGGAAGTCTAGGGATCAAGCCAGAAGTCAGGCTCTATGCTCAGCAGGAAGTCTGCTTGAGCTCTCTCCCTGTCCATCCCCCTGCTCACATAAACACACACACTTTCTCTCTAAAATAAATGAGTGAATCTTTTTTTTTAAAAAAAGATTTTATCTATTTATTCATGAGACAGAGAGAGAGAGAGAGGGGCAGGGACATAGGCAGAGGGAGAAGCAGGCTCCATGCAGGGAGCCCAATGTGGGACTCGATCCTGGGTCTCCAGGATCACACCCTGGGCTGAAGGCGGCGCTAAGCCACTGAGCCACCTGGGCTGCCCTAAATGAATGAATCTTAAAAACAAAAAAGTTAGTAAATTCAGTTACCAGGACAAGTATGGCTATTTAATTTTAAAAGTTCACTTGGCAAACTAATAAAAGCTACCAAATGACCACTATTATTTATCTTTTTAGGAAAAGACCACTGTGTCGGTCTGAGAATAATCAATTCAATCTCATCACTTTGGCTTTTAATAACTAAACTGGTACAAAAATGAACATTATTGATTTTGTTAATGTTAAAAAATGTTTAGAAAGAATTTATGGAAATTTTCTCCTTTTAAATAGTGATAGACATTATAAAAGGCAGTGTTTCAAAATCTTACAAAAAAAATCTTACATACTTGGAAAATAAAGAAAAATAGATGAATGTGAATATTTTTACATAGAAGCTTTTATTTTTTACTTAAATTTTTTAAAAGATTTTTTATTTACTTATTCATGACAGACACAGGGGGGGGGGGCACAGACACAGGCAGAGGGTGAAGCAGGCTCCATGCAGGGAGCCAGATGCAGGACTCCATCTGGGACCCCAGGATCACACCTGGAGCAGAAGGCAGACGCTCAACCGCTGAGCCACCCAGGCGTCCCTAACATGGAAGCTTTTAAAATTAAAGCCCTGAGCCATAGAAGGTGAGTAAATAAGATTCCAAATTTATATATAAAGTGAGTAGTTCTGCTTAGTCTTGGCCCTTAAAACATAACCCCTACATTACTTCAAACCAAAGCCAGGTCCATCTTTTCTATTACATCATTTTTTGCTGAAAACCCCCAAATGGCTTTGTGTTGCATTTACAGTGAATACTGCTTCCTTATCACACTGAGGCCACCTGACCCAGCTCCAGCTAATCTCTTCAAATGCACTGAGACCTCCCTCCCTGCACTTCCCCAGACAGCACGTGTGCTTTCAGTTTCCCAGACACACCAGTTTTTCCCTTCAGGGCATTTACACACACTGTCCCCTCTGCCTGGGCAGCTCTTCCCCAGCTCCCTGCACAGGCTGGTCCATTATCATTTAGGTCTCAGCTTAAAAGCTGTTTCCTCAAAAGCTTTTCCTAGATTTCCCCCCTTCTTTTCCCATGTGGTCTCTATTTGAGCACTTTCTTTCCTAACACCACGATTTATAATTTATGTACCTAGTTTTTTGGTAAGCACTACAAATACCCTCTACTAGTCAGTACGCTCCATGAAGGTGAAGACTGTGTTTCTTTCATCATTATGTAGCCTCCCCCCCCCCCCCGGAAGTGTCCTGTTCCTCACAGGTCAATGGACTCCCATGACAATATTTGCATATTTCTCATGAATCTGCTGGGATTGTTATTTTAGTCTGGCCTAGGAGAGCTGTATACTCCCAATACACCTACAAACAACATTCAGCACCCTTGGATTCTGGTTTCCTGCATCCCAACCAGAACTGCTCTCTGTAAAAGGTTTGGAAAAACTGATTACTGGTCAAGTGTGAATAACTTCTAAGGCTTTTTCTACTACCTTTCCAGAGATATAAGTGTTTATTTAAAGGTCATGATCGATTTATTATAGACTTCTGACATCAGCGTTTTCCCATCTGCCTTTTATGGTTGTAACTCAGCAATGCCTTTGTACTGGCGTCAGGTCCTTGAAGAAGGGACTGTGGCTATTCGCTTGCATACATACGTATGCATTCGTTCAATTAAGTATTTGGGGTGTGAGCAGCTACAGATTAACACATAAATGTGAACTATATGATTCTATAGAAATTTTTTACCAGAAGGAAACACAAAAACACTAATGGGCAGTGAAGACTTGACCTGGGGCTGACTTGACCTGGGTTGGAATCCCAACTCTGTCATTTAGTATCTGAGCCTTGGTTTCCTCCTTTGCACTGTAAGGGCAAGAATGCTATTGAGAGAGATGTGACAATAACGTTGAATAATTCTTTCAACAGGTATTTATTGACTAATGTGCCTGGTGCTGCTCAAAGCACTGAGGAAACAGGAGTGATGAAACACAAATTCCTGCCCTCGCAGAGCTCACATTCTAAGGAGGGAAGGCAGATGAGAAATCAAATAATAAGTAAAACATGCAGTCTTTTGGATGGTGTTAAGTGCTAAGGACAACAATAAAGCAGGGAATGGGAAAAAGGAATGCATGTATGTGGGAGAGAGGCTGCATTTTTAGACAGGGTGGAGGCTGCATTATGAAGGTGGCAACTGAAAAAAGGAAAGAGGGGAGCGGCTAAGAGGATATCTGAGGAAGCGCATTCTAGCAGAGTGAACTGTAACTGCCGAAGCATTGCACAGAAGCACCTGTCCTTAGGTGCTTCTCAAAGAGTGGCCCCGGAAGTAGCTGCACTGGCATCAATTGTTACTTGTTAGAAGCACAAATTCCCTGGCCTCATCCCAACCTGAGGCAGGTTCCCAGGAAACTGTTTCAACCAGCTCTTCAGGTGATTCTTATGTATGTTATGAACAACTTGTTCTACAAAAATACAGGCTTTGGAGGCAGATACCCCTGGCCACCTTATATTTAGCTGTAACACCTTGATTGATAGTTCTCAAAATTTAGTATACATCAGAATCACCTGGGGGCTTGTTAAAACTCAGATTTGTGCTCAACTCCAAATTTCTGATTCAGTTTATCTGTGGTGAGCGCAAGAATATGCATTTTTTTTAAAGATTTTATTTGTTCATGAGAGACACAGAGAGAGAGGCAGAGACACAGGCAGAGGGAGAAGCAGGCTCCATGCAGGGAGTCCCATGTGGGACTCGATCCGGGTCTCCAGGATCATGCCCTGGGATGAAGGCAGGCGCTAAACCGCTCAGCCACCCAGGGATCCCCAGAATATGCATTTCTAATAAGTTGTCAGGTGATGTTGGATGGGGGTGGGGGCGGCACACTTTGAGAATTACTGTTAAGGATGGAGGCCTGTGCACTGGAGCAGAGTGGAGCCCAGGACAAGCAGCTGTGATAAGACTAGATAAAGGAGGAGAAGCAGTTGTGAAAATCCCACAGGCCTTTGTAAGGACCTTAGCTCTCACTCTGCAATGGCCCATAGAGGAGTGATCTAACTCGAACTTGGCAAAAAATAAAAATAAATAAATAAATAAAAAAGAAGACCACTCAGACTGCTGTATTGAGGCGAGCGGAGCAGTCCAGACTGTTACAACACCCAGGTAAGAGAGGCTGGTTGTTGGGCCAGGGTGGGGTCGATAGTGGAATTCTGGATGTATTTTAAAGGTACAGCCTACAGAATTTGCTAGTAATCGAAGTGTGGGGTGTGAGAAGCAGCGGATGATTCCGTGGGACCTGAATGTCGGGCCAGGCGATGCAGGTAAAGTGCCTGACATACAGTGGGTGCCCCGTAAACAGGGTGTTTTAAGAAGTACGGGGACGCCTGGGGGGCTCAGGGCGTGACCTCGGGGTGCTGGGATCGAGTCCCGCACCCGGCTCCTCAGGGAGCCTGCTTCTCCCTCTGCCTCTCTCTCTGGGTCTCTCATGAATAAACAAACAGAACTGGAGTAAAGAAAGAGTAGTGATTTGATCATGGTTATGGATCCTGTTCGTAGCGTTTATGCACATAGCTAAGTTTCATGCTAATCTGAACTCGTGTTTTTTAAAAGCTATTTAGGGGGTGCCTCGGTGGCTTCGGTAGTTGAGCGACTGACTCTTGATTTCAGATCATGACCTGGAGGTCTAGGGATCAAGCCAGAAGTCGGGCTCTATGCTCAGCAAACAAACAGAAAATCTTAAAAAAATAAAAAAAAATATAACAACAACCCAAAGTAAGTGTTCGGGTGAGCGCTCAACTACTGGCTGCAGGATGGCCGGGCCGCCCCTCGGGTCTCCCTTCACCGTCCCCGAAGGAGGGAACTATTTTTCACAAGGGGAAATAGAGGACCAAGCCCCAGCACTTACGGCTGCTCGTCCTCCTTCCGCTCCATGGGCACCCCCGGCCCGGCCCGACCCGAGGCGGCGGGAAGACGAGGGACCAGGCCCCCCGGAGAGGGACGCGCGCGTTGCTAAGCGACGGCGGCTCCCGGCGCGCGGCCTCGGAGAGCGGCGTGGGGGGGCGGGGCGGAGCCGGGGCGCGCAGGCGCAGTCGCAGTCGCGCGGAGGGGGCGGGGCCGCGGGCGGGGGGATCGGGGCGGCCTCCCCGGAGGCGCTCGGGGCTGGAGGCTGCGCGGCTGCGCTGGGCCTTTCCGGTCGGGCCGGGCGGAGCCCTTAGGAAGGCCCGCGGTGGCCTTGGGGCCCCGCAGGGGGCGGCCCCGGAGCCCCCCGCGGCGGCGCCCACGTCGGCGGGAGCTGGCTCCGAGCGTGCGCGCGCGCGGGCGGGAGGGGATCGAGTGTAGCCGCTGGAGAACCGCGCAAGTCGGGGGTCGCTGCCGCTGGCCTGACCAGTCTTTGCTTGAAAGAGCTTGGCTGTCGCTGTTCTCCCCGGCTTCTGGCCCATCTGCCTTCCCCAGCCCGGCAGCGGGCGTTAAACCAGAGCGAGGGAACACTCCTCTCCTGCCAGCGAGCTCCCCGCGGTGTGTGCATCTGCTCCGGCCCCGCGGGGCTCGGCGGGCGGGGGCGGGGGCCGGGGGCGGGGTGGGCTGGTGCGGCGCGGACCCCAAGAGAGCAGGTTCCTGCGAGAAGCGGCTGGTGACTCTGCGTCCACCTTCTGGCCCCGGATTTTCTTACCTCATTTCAGCCATTGCTTCCCAGTTTCCACTACCAGGGCCAAATGTCTTTGGCATCAGTCGTGGTAACTCTTGGATTTATTTGCCTGAATAATGGGGGAAAAAAATCCTTATTGAGCGGAGTTCTGCTGTATAACCAACCTATGCAGGTGCGTAGGTTTTGTGACCTAGAGCCGGTATTAAGGGGTACGGATTTAGCAGAGCCGAGTGTGGGCCCTGGACTCCTTGCACGTATGTGAGCTTAAGGCCTTCCTATGAGGCAGAGGAATATGTGAATGGAAGTTTGGTATGTAGGTACCCACACACCTAAGTTGGTAAAAAGAACGGGGCATGTGTAAACACCTGTGTGCATGGGCAGTAAGGATTCGATGGGCAAATAAATAGGGAGTGGGTTGAAAATCCTTTGAGCTCCTGCTTGGGAGCCAGGCATTTCTCTGCAGCTTGTCAACCACCACCTGCTTACCCGGTTTTGTCCTAGTCTTCACACTCTGGGAGCGTTGGCCTTGGGGGCAGTCAGTGTTCGAATCCTGGTTCTACCATTTAGGAGCTGCTTCAGTTGGACAAATGATCCAGTATCTCTGAGCCTCAATTTCTTTGTCCACAAAATGAAAATATTCTTAAGGCCGTTCTCAGGTGTGGATACTTTTTTTTTTTTTTTTTTTTTAAGATTTATTTATTCATGAGAAACACAGAGGGAAGGAGAGACGCAGGCAGAGGGAGAAGCAGGCTCCATGCAAGGAGCCCAGTGTGGGACTGGATCCTGGGCCTCCAGGATCAGGCCCTGGGTTGAAGGCAGGTGCCAAACCGCTGAGCCACCCGGGCTGCCTGGTATGGATAATTTTTAATACGGGCATAGTAGGGCCACACTTCTGATCAGTCTTTCATCATAATTAGCTCAGGTTTGGTTTGAGCAATTTGATGTGAGTATGCTACCTCACGTCTTTAGGACTCAGTCAACTCATTGTTCCCTCTAATATTCCATCTTCACCAATCTCTTCAAGCTCCTAAAAGCTCTCACCTTCAGAGACAATCCCAACTGCTATCTGTGAAGAATTGAAGCATTTCTCAGCTTTGTCCCTTTCAAAACAATAAACACCTGCATCCATACAAAATGACAGTTGTTTGATTCTGAGTCATGTAGTAGAAGTCTAAAATCTAAATATATTTGTCAGTCTCTTTCCAATTGTTAAACAGTTCATACATAGATTTATTGAAGGATGTAAGAAACATTAAAATAATTATGCCTACCACAGAGGTCACAATCTGGTTACGAAGAAAAGACATACATACTGGAAAAATTTGTGAACAATGATACATAATAATAGTTTGTAACGGATAGTCACAAGGGTCAAATTTCAGTACTAAGGATAATACAGTATTGTAAAAATGGGCCAATTATTTAAAAATGCCAATTATGATTGGTACATCCTCAGCAGGGCACTGCAAAATAATGTGGATCTTATACTCACTTTTTAATGTAGAAAAAGCACTGGGATGTTAGTTTTTTCTACTGCTAACTAGCTACTCCGACCTAGGAGACACTTGAACTTATCTGCTGTAGATTCTTACTTGTAAAAAAAAAAAAAAAGTAATTATCTAATCTTTATGATCCCTTCCAGCTGTAAAATACAGTGATTTTACTGGGAAATTTATGTTTGAAAATCCGTGAACACACTAGCCTCAATAATACATGTAGTTTTCTCATTTATGTTAGGTAGTTTGGATTCTTGTCAGGGAAGAATAATTCAAAGTGGCTTACTAATATTGTGCAAGTTAAAAATACCAGTGCTATTTGAGCTAGAACACCATATGTGAGGAAACACAATAGGATAGAAATTGCTCATCCAAAATGTTATAGATGCAGAAAATCGTCAACACTTTTTTCAAGCCATAGGAAGATGCCAAAAATAATGAAGGTACAGTTGTATAACCTCATAGGAGAGTCCAGCTTCCTCTCAGTTCTTTCTTCAGTAATATGATACCGGTGAGGAACTCAAGAGTATGGCATCAAACCAAAGCTATCTCTACTTTTATTTTTTTTTAAAGATAGTTTGTTTGCCTCATTTGTATGTACTGTAATGGTTAAATGAGAAAATACAGAGAATTTATCCTGGCACATAGTAAGCGCTCATTAAAAGTTGGCTCTTAGTATTCTTCCTATTTTTATAATTAGTAGGGTAGATAATTCACCAAGTATATGCAATACATTCTTTTTTACATTGTCTTTATTTCATTGCCTTAGACTAAGAATTTTTTAAAAGATTTTATTTGAGAGAGAGGAGGAGGGAGGAAGGGAAGGGGCAGAAGGAGAGGGAGCCCTAACACAGGACTCTATCCCACGACCCTGAGATCATGACCTGAGCTGAAATCAAGAGTCGACACATAAATAACTGAGCCACCCAGGTACCCCTTAAACTAAGAATTTTATCAAACTAAAACACACATTATTTTGAGGGCAATGGGAATGAGAAATGTTAGTGCTAGGTTTGCCTATCTTTGAAAATGAGTAAGTTCAGATGAATTACATATAGGAATAGAACCCCGAGTTTTCCTCTGGTCTAAGTTAATTGTACTTTTAAGAAAGAGAGATTATAAAATAAGTAGGAGGTGTTACATCTCTTAAATGGTAGAAGTCTCTAGATTAAATCACATAAATCACTCTAAGTGATCCTGGATATATGCACGAATATGTTTATATTCAGGTGATGTATACATTTAAAATCTTAGAAACTTAATGAAGTCTTGAAATAACTAAAGCAATTACAGACAGCCCGGGTTACTCCAAGATCATTGTTGGAAATCATGTGTTTGGAAATTCACTTCATTGAAGGAAGAAATCTATATTTTTATGAATTTGGAGTGTTCTAGTCCTCTCTATAATTTCATGACTAAAGGTTTATTTTGAAATAATCCACCTATGGTATCTTACATAGAAACTGTATAACAAAAGGATGAGTGAAGAGCTGTTCCTAGGGAGCCTGTAGTAAAAGGACATGTTGGTGCTAGAGTGATGGCCGATGTCCTCAGTAGCGTGATCACAAGGTAAAGATTTGTTGAATGAATAGCTATGGACATATTACTTCTTGAGAAAGGAATGCAAAATGAAATATGGTTGAGGTGGTTACCATTCTCACAAAGTTAGGAATCCCTAGTCTAAGCTGTCTAGTTTTGATGGTTTTCTATCTTCTAGCTTCTTTCTTGGGCTGCTTTCCTTGCTCTTTATGAAGAACTCCAGAGATGTGATCATCTTCCTTGGAAGTCATTTCTACATCTAATTATTGAGGAATCCAACACATATTCTGCATCGTGTATTTTCTGGCCTGCTCTCGGTGGACCATGAAATTCGTAGTTGATTCATTTAAAGTTCTCAGTACCTTGTAAACAACAGGTCCTATCAAATGAAATTGATCCAGAAAAATTCTTCCTATATCCTACAAAATACATTGTGCTACTTTGAGCTTTTCAGTCTTTTTAACGGCCATAGGTAGTAATTGTTCAACAACTCCTTAGAGAATCTCTGAATTTAAAAAATTGTAATTAAAACTACCTTGTAAACTAAGCAACTTAAGTCCTCCGCTTCTGCCCAATAAGATCTACCTTTCATCTCTTTGATGATATAAATTGTACTTGCCCTAGGAGAGGAGAACTAATGTTTGTTGAAATTCAGGGTTAGAGCTGAATTTAAGTCTTAGCTATGTTTTTAAAGCTCTTTGACTCTAGGTAAGTGATTTAAATTCTTTGAGCTTTAGATTTGGACTATTAAATTTATTTAATTTATTTGGACTATTAAATTTATATTTATATATTTAAATTTCTTTTAAAAATAAATAAGACCCCAAAAGAGTAGGGGTAAGGGAACTTACCTTGTAGGGTTATTGGAATAAATATAAGGCAAGTGTAAGGCACCTTACACAAAGTAGGCACCTAAAAAGAATCATTTCCCACCACCCTGCCCTAGCCTTACCCATGGTGGATGCTCTCCCAGCTGGAAAGTGGTACAGCTAGGATTTGTTTTTTAGATCAGTCTCTCTCTTTTATTTATTTTTTTAAAATTTTTTATTTATTTATGATAGTCACAGAGAGAGAGAGAGAGAGAGAGACAGAGACAGAGAGGCAGAGACACAGGCAGAGGGAGAAGCAGGCTCCATCCACCGGGAGCCCAATGTGGGATTCGATCCCGGGTCTCCAGGATCGCGCCCTGGGCCAAAGGCAGACGCCAAACCGCTGCGCCACTCAGGGATCCCCAGTCTCTCTCTTTTATACCTCATTGCCTTTACCTAATGTTTCTCTAACTCTTATTGAAATCATGACAATAAAATGGAACGTAAAATTCAAAATAGGGTCTTCCTAATGTCACTATGGTGTGAGAATAGGTAAAAATAACTAGAAAGAGTAAACCCGGCCAGTGTCTCAGGAGTGGAAGCCTTCAAAACAGGAAGGCTCTGATAGGGGAGGAGAACATAATAACTATCAGGGATGGGGGGATGGGGTATGCTAAAAGTGAAAGTTTGCACTGTCTACTTGTAAAATATCACCGTATCCAGTGCATTATCGCAAACGTGTAGTTAGAGCTGATGTTGAGGTGCCATGGTTGGTAAAACAGAAAGAGCAGCACACAATCGCCAGTCACCAGAGCTCCTGTGCCACAGTGACAGATTGTGGTGATAAGCTGGTCAGTGATGGTAAATATTTTTATATGGATGGGTAGACCTATGTTAAAATGTTTTTCTTCTTTTTTTTTTTCTTTAGTACAAGTGGAAAGTTAGGAGGTAAGCTTCCATTGAAAGAAAAATGAGGGTTTTGACCTAAAAGTTGGAATACCTAAAAAAAAAAAAAAAAAAATCACAGGTGAAGCTTTAAATAGAAAAATGCAACACTTTTAATTAATAAGGGGTGGTTTATTCAAATACCTCCTAGGCCCAGCTTTTCAATCTGACATGGCAAGTCAACATTTCAGAGGTCATTTCCTTTAAACTATTATTCTAACCTATTCCTTTTCCCTTATGTAAATTATA